CCGCAATGTGGTGCGTGGGGCTCGTCTTACTTATTCTGGAGCGACCTCTTCAACGGAACCACAAAAATAAGAGCTTTTATGCAAGTTTTAGGCTCCAGAATCGATCCGACAGTATAATCCATCGAAGTCAAATCTGAAGTGCTGACCTGCCACCGTTTAAGATGATAAAGTCGCAAAAATTGTTTTGCACCAATTCCATACCAATTCTGCAGACCCTTTGCCTTGTGATTGGGAGCTCTACTTGATGGAAGATCCCAGCAACGATTTTCAAAGTGAAAATAAACTCAGGATAGCAATGGGCTCTGATAAGTCCAAAAGAGCCCCCTTGATTCCTATCTCTCGTGACATCCAGTGAAACCAGCGCGTCAACTACCTGCAAATTCTATCGCACACAATCCTTAGATTGTTCGTGGTCGCCACAGAAACACGCCCTTCTCATCCAGAATGACTGCATTCAGCTCCTTGTTCCTTGTAGCATTTGGTGGGTTATTGATAGCACTCGGATATACACCAAAACGCTGATAATTCTTCGCGTGCCGAAAAGCCTCGTCATTGAAGTTCAGTGATTCAGGAACGGTGTCAGAATCACTCAACCGTCGTAGCAATCATAGATATTGGTGGTCAAACAAGATAATATGAACAGATCTACACACAATACCAAAATTAGGACAGCAAAAACAGCATCTTTGAATACCGGTCCAAATGGTGTGCTCATGTGTTGTCGCTATAATTTTGGCGCACCCTGTATTTTGATCATGCCATATAGTAACACATTCCAGTCATTAAATCGATTTGTAGAAATAATGTTCACTGTTATTGTTGGCGTCGTTTTTCGTCAAGTGGGAAGTTTCAATTTCAGGGAGGAACTCGGAAAAATCACTACCGTGCACGAAGGTTTTCGTAAAAAGCGAACCGCGTATAGATATTATGATACTTGGACGGACAACACAATGAACTACGAACTTGATGAGGAACTGGGTAAGTCATTTATTTATTTATTTATTTATTTATTTATTTATTTATTTATTTTTTTATTTATTTATTTATTTATTTATAGGGCGGAAGTGGTGTAGTGACAAGTGGCGCGCTTACCACGCGAGCGGTCCGGGGATCAAATCCTGGGTCGTGAGTCGCCCGGGCCAACCAAGCCTTCCATCCCTCCGGGGTCGGTTAATTGGTACCAGACTTGTCTGGGAGGATAAAAACACTGACTTGTACATCGGCTGGCCCCCGCAAGTCATTGTATAGGCCACATCGCATTCAAACGCCACTACGAATGTACAAATGGAAGTAGAATGCGTGCCGCATCCCAAAAAGGGATTGATCAACGGCAAATGCTTTATCCTTTATCCTTTATTATTCTCATCATTTAACATTGCACACGGAAATTTTTCTTTGATTACTCATTGAGAGGAAATTTCTAGATGAAGAATATCGTGAGACTATCAGGAAAGCAATGGCCTACATAAGTGCTCGCACGTGCATTAACTTTCGTGAAGATCCATATGCTAAAGCCCGTGTTTACATCACCATAAGAGGCGAATGTTCGACTGATCCTGGCATGTCAGGAAACAAACAAGAAATGTGGCTGGGAGGGGGTTGCTATTATGTAAGTTTCATGATTTTCATTCGTTTTCAATAATATCATTGAGCTTTGCGGCCGAAAAAAAAAACTCGAATGATACAAATAAGTTAAACAAACTTGTGCCAAATAGTGCAAGGATTGGGGGGGGATGAAAAGCAAACAAAAGAGCATGTTCACCATCGGTGCCTTCAGCTGATTCTTCGCGGCAAAGGAGCCGCTTATAATGCTGAATTTTGCATGATTCGATCCTCACAAACCCCTATAAGAACTGCCGAGTCTTCCTACGTATCTTCTATGAGGAAACTTCAGGTAATGAGAAACTTGCAGTTCCTGCCTGACAATCCCTCACCGTCTGCAGCAAGGTATGTCATAATTCGTGCGCACACCACTAAATTCATCCCACAAATGTACCCTCTACAGTACCTTCTATGAGAAACTTCTACGAGATACTGCAAGTCTTTCTACAGTACCCTCACCGTCTTCAGAATATGTCATAGTCGTCGAGCTCAAAAAGTCTTACCGTAACTGCTCCACCCCGAAGCTCTTACATAATTTCTTGAGTCGACTCACTATTGGATAATTTCTTAAAGACACTAGCTTTAACTACCGGACCTTTTCGAAACCTGCTTACTAGAAACCGTCGTAGTGGTACGGGGTCCTGCGGGATCCCACTGAGTTTGACCCGTGCGCCATGTGGCAAATTTTCTGGTGCATTCCGCGTGGAAGATCACTATTAATTTTTTCCATGAAAGAATGTGCTTTTCAACTATAAGTTGAGAGTATTCTGTCTGAATTGAGAAAGGTATCTTACCAGGGAAGGTCATCAAGCCGGTCCGGCCATTTGTAATGAGCTATATACCCTTGCACTCGCCTCGAGACGCTGAGCTCAAAACTGTCTTCCCGATCTGCTGAACGATTTTTTTGAACGGAGTTATAAAGCAAGGAAGCGCAGCGGTAGTGCAAGAGGCTGTGGGAACAACTCGCGAACTCTTCACTTGTGGTTGGGCAAGTAATGGCAAGGGTTGATGAATGAACGATTAAGAAGCTTTCTCCACCACACTGACATTGAAAAACAAAAAAGCAGGCTCCTCGAAAACCGTTCCACCACCTCTTGCTGCGAGACCAGGGCACTACCGCTGCGCTTTCTTGCTTTATAACTCCGTTCAAAGAACCGTTTAGCAGATAGTGAAGGCAGTTTTGAGCTCAGCGTCTCGAGGCGAGTGCAACGGTATACAGCTCACTACTAATGGCCGGACCGACCTGATGACCTTCCCTGGTTAGATCGTTTCAATGTGAAGGCAGAATGTTTTTTTTTGATTGGCCCACCCAGTTCTTGTGGGAGAACAAACTATAAAAAGGGTCATTTTAACACGTTGACGACAGGCTGAAGCGCATGAACCATTCCACTCATTTTTGTAGTGCTTGCGCTCCTTCTTCTCGAGTTTTTTGTATTCATTTAGATTATAGATTAGCATACTAACCACAGCAGCATAAAACCACATGGCCGCTAGAGTGGTCAAATATCCCTTGATTTAGCAAAGATTTTCTGAACGCACAAAACTTTCATTTCAATTCTTTCCTAGTATTCCTTTCACTGTCGTAAACATTCATATGAAAGATTGTAGAAGCAGTTAATACAAAACTCTGTGAGTTTCAAGATATTTGTATTAAAAACGAGCATACAGGGGGGCCAAAAAAAAGACATTTTGCCTATGTCGGACTTCGGCTCTTTTTTCTTCGCAGATTGCTGTCGTTGACGGGAGTTCCTCAGCAGAGTATTCCCTAAGTGTCCCTCTATAAGTGAACGCAGGCCCTCCTTCACTGCCCTCACCGTCTTCAGAATATGACGTCATCTGTCACCGTCGTCAGGCTCAAGGAGGTCTACCGTAAGAGCTTCAGCCTGAAGCTCTTACGCAATTTCGTGAATCGATTTAATGTTGGATAGTTTTCTAGAGGCATTAGCTACCACTGTGCAAATCCCCTCGGAACTAGCTTTCCAGTAAGGGTCGTTATGGTACACGATCCTTCGAAGACCCCATTGAGATCGACCAGTGCACCATGTTTCCAGGGCTAATTCTTCTGATGCCGTCCACGTACGTGGCCACTATGAAGATTTTCTTATAGAATGGAATGCACTCTTTAATAATAAGTTGGAACCGTTCGGTCTGAGTTGAGTAAAATGTGCTTAAATCCATCTGGAAGTGGAGGCAAAATGTCTTTTTTTTGCCCCCCCCCTGTATATGCTTTTCGTTCGTAGCAAAAGTGGATTTTTTTTGCTTCTTCATAGTCATTATGCGTCCTTCTAAAAAACTTCTAGTGGTATTTATAAAGGTAACCTCGGCCATCATTGTCGAAATCATTGAGTGATATTCAAATTTTTGGACATTTTGAAGAGAAAATAAGCGTAAGGAAGGTGAAGATGGCGCGCTAGCAAGATCGCTCCTGTCCCGCGCGGCGAAAATGTGAAAACACGTGATTCGTCAACATATTAAACAAATCAATTGCCTACTCTTCACTTTCTCCGAAGAAAATTCGCCAATATTCCGATTTTGACCTTGCATTTTGTAGCTACATCATTTAGCGCTGATCCATCACCACCGTCCACCTTCAAAGGCTTGATTCGGGTTTAGACCTACTTAAAAAGACCTTGCCGTGGTTAGAGGGGCATGGAACGCACCTGCAAAAGACGCGCCACGTTCCTGCATCGAAACACGTCACTAACGATAAGACGCTAAGCGCCAAGGAGCACGCTCCACCTGTACAATTATGTTCCGCTCACCGCTCTCCACACTCGCATTATCTCTCATCTTCCTTTTGTACTTTTTTACTTCTCCTCAGCGTAGAGCAAGAGGCTCGTGTTTCCTGAGTATTTCACGATTTTTTTCCTTTTTTTCCTCTGGCGGTCAACTTCCCACCCCTAATTTAACATCTGAGTAATTACCTCATCAAGTTAATCCTGAATCTTCCCTTCAAATGCTGACTATTAAAATTCGGAAACATTCAGCTGTGCACTACGTAACGGACGGCTCTACAATAACCACCAGCAAACGAAAAGTGAAGCGAATTCAAAAAAGTGTTCAATGTACTGTCATGTGGGATGCGCCACATATTGGGCGTTAACCACGAGCAGATCCAAAATCGTACTGATAGCGTACCCATTGCCCACAGGACATTACTTGACGCGAAACTTTTGTCTTACGGAAGTGGTACTACAGTACCACCAGCACAGTCAGTGTCTAAATAGTGATTCACATTGCTGTGACGTAATACTTGATTGATATTCATTCCTTGTGATTTTTTTATTGAGAAGAAAAATCAATGCATATTCAATGGCAATTGTTTTGTAGTTGGCAGGCGTGATGCATGAAATTTTCCATGCTCTTGGTATAGCACACATGCACGAACGTCCTGATCGAGACAAGTACATTAATGTCGACTATTCGTCAGTATTGGTAAGTTTTTTCATGGTATCAAAAGATTTTGCAAGCTCAATGGTTTCGTGAAATGGAAACAAATCCTAGCTCTCGTCTGAAAACGCAGTTAAAGTAGAAGTGAAGCCTCTAGTTTGTTTGCTCTTTTGCTCTCCCAGCCCTGGATCAAGCGAGTGCTTTTGTATAGTGACCATGACCATCGGGCCAGAGCCAACCTTGTTATACGGCAAAGGCGCAGGACATGTTCGACTGTTCTCACAACAGTATTGTTAGCAGCTTGCACATGGGCTGAATGTTGGTTACTGGAACATCGCTCCGTCCCGCGTATGAATCAAACTCGTAGAAAGAGGCTTGATAAAGGCGCTGTTTACCATGAAAATGAAGCCCATTGGACATCAAGGTAGAGGCTGTCAGTGGTGCAGGACGAAGAAGAAAACATGAGCGGCACAGCACTCAAGAAGGGGACGCATTACTTCCCCGTTGAGTTCGGCATTAGTGGTGGCTTCCAACGGTGATGCCCTCTTCAACACTAATGCACTCTCTGCTATACGGCCAGAGGTTCAGACGGCGAGACGGTGGGCGGGCCGCTACACTAGCGGCGCAGGGACGGTCGTGTTAGACTGCCGACGATCTAAAATCTGAAACCGAATCGCGTGTCGATTGGCACCTTCAGAGGGTCCGCCTGTCTTTCTACTTTGTAGGTTTTCCCTTTCTCGATCTTCAACCTTATCGCGAAATCCTCCTTTAATTGGGAACAGCGTCCAAGTTTTTTGAACGCTGGCGCAACTGCCCTAAAAGCGAGAGAAGGGAGGTTGATTTCCACCTGGGCGAAACGTTTTGCCTATAGTCAACATGCTTATGATAGCACTTCTTGGCCTATTGTGGAAATGGGCAAGAAATAAGTCAGCAGTTTATGTCGTCGCTTTGTTTTGTTCGTTAATTGCTGCTGTTGCACAGTCGCGTCGTCAAATTTTCAGTGTAGTGCTGAGTTATGGGCAAAGCTCTGCGCCTAGTAGCAAGTCATCTCACTTTCCTACTCCTTGCCCAAGCTTACAACCGTACGGTTCGCAGTGCCGATGTCGGCTAACCTGATCATCACGTTAGACATGTGAGCGCTTATGAATTCTGATAAATATGCCATGAAAGGCTGGCGGTGCTCTGGCGATGAAATCGACAGTTTAATTGCACGGGAGCAAGAAGGGCGGATTCGATTTCGGAATATTCCTCGATATTATGGAATAATCCTCGTGAGGGATTGCTTAAAGGCAAAAGTCAGGCTCGTGTTTGGCATTATGGCGCCTGAAATTGAGTGTAGAGATGGGAGGTGGAACGACAGTGAAGAAAAACGCAAGAAACCGTCGACAAGACCGAAATCGAAACCCCTCCCTTCTAGCAGTGAAGGAGGCTTGCTCGGGGGAGAGCCACGTCCAAACGAGTTTTCCGGATATGCCAGCCGTTCCATCGGTTGATACGGCAATCAACCTAGCTGATCTCACACGTTAGGCCAGCCACGCACCACATCCCGCGGTGGGCGGGACCAGCTGATGTAACGAACCCATCGCTGTAAGTAGTAGGCCAGAGAGGCCTTGACGGCGCGCAATCTCGAGTCAGGAGTGTGGCATCACCCCTCTGAGCGCATTCCTGGAAATATTAGTGATGAAGAGGAATTCTATGGTCACCTGATCCTGACTCGTGGCTTTAAGTCACTTCTTGTAAGTGCACAGTTATTTGTGACACTTTTCATAACCTGAAACCGACTTACGCTAAGTTTTGAGTGGATCTTGGTTTGCTCTGTGAAATGATCGGAAGGGTGGATGCTATGTATGGAGTGGCATTCAGGAAAACAATGCAAGCTTGAGTATAGCTATCAAATTGTACGTCAAAGTGTCAAGCGAGTCTTCGACGACCCTGCGTTAGACTACTTTTGTTTACCTGACAGGAGGCTCTCGCGCGGTAAGAAGGCAGAGACGCAGAGGTCAGTGGACGAGTCGAAGCGACGCTACTGTAGCGACTGAGCGTCAAGATAAAAAGAATGTACGTCCTCCATAGCACAGCAGCGCTGCGACTCGTCCATTGACCCGTATGATTCCCTGTCTTCTCACCCACGCGCGACAGGCCCAGTGCCCCTACTTTTTCAAATCGCGCCTATCTGTAAATGTTTAGATCCAGGTCTGGTAGAATGACGCACCCACACACAGAATGTCCAGGAAAAGAATGGTTTGGTTAGAATTATCAATATTAAATATGATTTTTAGGATGGCTTCTATATCCACCACACAAAGTTTCAGCCGGATCAAGTTATCAGCTACACACCCTATGAGTACGGAAGTATTATGCACTATTCAGCTCAATTGTTAGTTTCAAACTGTTTACTTGCTTCTTGCTGTGTGGAAGATCAATCGGAGAGTGCTAGTGTTACGTTAGTTTCAATATTTCAGGTGTACCGAGGAGGGTAGTGCAATAACGCCTGTCGATGAGAGGTACCTGTGGACGATTGGCTCGAGAATTCCTTCTTTTTATGACATCATGACGGTCAACAAACATTACAACTGCGACGGTATTTTTTGTTAAAAGCAACTAACGGCTCATGCTCCTTACATTAGAACGTTAGGCATACAAACAATAAGTCCCCTAGTGCTTGCTATATGCTGAAGAAACTACGGCGCATCTCACGATCAGCCGCAGTCCATTGGTTAGCCATAACTTCAAATGACTTGACTGTAGGACCATTGGATAGCCCTTGTCAATGCAAATCCAACTAGCTTGGGAACCTCTGATTTCTTTCAAATCTTATTCCTTATTTTTGCCTTATTTTTGGGAAATCGGAGTTGAGCCTTCGCTTGCCAATAGCAATGCCTGCAGACATATACCTCCAGTACGATCAGGATTCTCGATTATAGGGTTGGAAACCCACAAATATCGGTATATTCGAAGAAATCATGAATCCGTGATCATTTCAAAAACCCATTTTGATAGGGGCTTGACAAATTTCGACTACAAGTCAAGATTTTACTGGAATTCTTCTTCGCACTTAACTCTCTCGCTGCAAGGGAAAAATTTGCCCTGTACTCGATCTAAAGTACCACACTTGCACATGAAGGTTCTATTGTCCGAACGAGAAGGTCCCTTGAGGTTTAGCTCATCGGTGTTGAGCACCTAGGTCGCGCAGTTGCCACTTTGTCCCATCCAGAAACGACGTTTCTTTTGACTGGTAGGGGTAGCATGTATTCATTCCGTGGGTTTTGCAGCTCAGTGTCAATCTTCCGAAAGGATAACATGTGCAAATGGAGGAGTACCGAATCCCAGGAATTGCGATGTTTGCCTTTGCCCACACGGTTATGGTGGCAGGTTTCTGCGATGACAAGGGTAAGGCAGATAAGCAACGTAGATTGAGGACATTGAAAAATATGATATTTCTTCATAATATCACGAAAAAACAAAGAAAATTTTTAGCCGGCTGGGTGCGGTAAAACTCTCAGAGCGTCTCGTCAATGGAGGACGATAGAATTCATCGTTGGCGATACCATTGTGGATGGAGTTCCAGAATATAAAATGTGCAATCACTGGATAGAGGTGAGTCCTTCGAAATTAAATTAATTACACGGGAGAATGTAACATTATATGTGAACCAGTTGGCGCCGAACGCGTTGCGCGCACAGCACAGTTCTGCGGCGATGATGCGGTGATGGTGCGGCGTGAATTTTCGAATTTGGCCCTTCGAATATTTGACTTTCAAGCTGAATTCTATCCGATTGCCCCATGCTTCATCCACCGATGGCTTTTGACCTTCCCTCCTTCCTCCACCAATTGTCCGTTTTTCCCAGCCTCGGACTGCCTCCGGACCGATTTATGAACCTCGTGGTAAACTCCGCCTATTTCTTTGCATGTCCCACCTATCTTTTTCTTCCTCGCCAACCTCTTCCCACTTTTTACCCGATCTCTGAACTATCTCTGAGCCGATTTATAATTTTGGCGGCGAATCCTTTTTGTATCCTCCGCACACCATTAGAAATTCACTTCCTTTCCTTCGCCCACTTCTCTCCCGGTCTCCAGGACTTCTTGCAGCCGAGTCACAAAGTTTTGTGGAGAACTCCGCCCACCTTGGAAATGCCCGCCCACCAACAGCAGTTGGGCTCCACTCCTTCACCCACCTCTATCCACCTTTTTCCCGGTCTCCGGGACTTCTTGGAGCCAAGTTACAAAAATTTCGCCCACTTTGGAAATGCCCCGCCCACCGGCAGCACTGGGCCCCACTCCTTCCACCCACCTCTATCCACCTTTTTCCCGGCCTCCGGACTTCTTGGAGCCGAGTTATGAATTTTCGTCGCAAACTCCGCCCACTTTGGTCATGCCCCGCCCACCATAAGCTGGCCTCCACTCCTCCACTCCACCTCTATCCACCTTTTTTCCGGCTCAGGGTAGTAGGGATTCTACCCAAAGAGAGTATCTGGCTGCTGATCAGGGTGAAAATAGGTCGAGGATTCATCGACGGCTCGTCGAGGATTTTCGCCTGTTCAGTCACGCTCTCCGCGCGGACATTCACTCTCGCCACGCGCGAGCCGTCTGTGCTCTGCGTACGCATGCCTGCGAAAATTTTGTTCACAGCCCAGCATTCTTTTGCAA